GATCTTTAATGTTTTGAAAAATGTGGGTAGTATATTCCAGATTTTGACTATGATATGATATGATATGTTTTTTTTGTAATTAAGAGAAATTTGCTCTATCAAGATATTATAGATCCTTGCCTCTAGTATTATATATGTATGTGATCACGTTGAAGATCTGTTAAAGTGGAACTATTTTTTATTGCAAACATCACACATTCATAGACATAAAGACTGTGTAAAGTAATAATATTATTGTTCACAAATGCCTCCCTGCACGAATCTAATTGTTTCATCCTAAACATTGTTCTTAGGCACCTTTTTTGTAATACGAAAATTCTTCCACTGTCTACGGAGTTTCCCCAGAATATTATTCCATATCTAATTCGGATGCTAATATTATTGGTGATTATGGACACGGCGTAACCATATCTTGCAATGTCTGCTGCTACGAGATTCACATTTGCTTTCCAGTTTAACCGTTTATCAAGATTTACACCCAGAAATGATAAGCTTTCAATTATGTTATCATTACCAAATAATTATATTAATTAAGATCTTGTTCTTCTCTCGCACTGAACGTTGTTGTAATATTTAAAGCAAATTGTTGGAAGTAAATCAGTCATTAAGATTAGCATATGTTATCTCAATGTGATTCTTACACTCTTCCAGATTATCAGCCTTATAGAGCACAGAGGTATCATCTGCAAAGAGTACAATTTTGTTATTCGTGACACTTACCAAGTCATTTGTGTATATTAATTACAACAGGGGGCCCAGAATTGAACCCTGTGGCACTCCCCGTTTTATGAGTCTACTATCTGACATTACCTTTACTCCCCCTTCATTAATGCCAATTACTCTCTGGGTTCTGTTTGAAAGATATGATTTAAATAGCTTAAGAAAGATCCCCCTAATACCATATCTTTCCATTTTTTTAAGCATGGTCTACACTATCCAAGGCCTTGGAGAGATCCAAACACAAAGTTGCAGTTACTTTCTTATCATTTAATGATTGACTTATTGCTTTTAATGCCTCAAAAACTGCTGTTAGTGTCGACTTACTGATGTATTTCGTAACTTTAACCCACTTCACTGTATTCCCTAATTTCAGTGATGGTATCTTCGAATAACAATAATAACAGATTTCTGGTAATAAATTATAAACACTCTGGACAGTTGTTACGAACTCTTTACGAATTAGAATAAAGTAAGCAGAAACATAAGTTGCTTACGCTGAAGTCAGTTGAACTTGTTGATGCGTATTGTCACGTGTACTTTTTCAACGAAATAATTTGTTAAACATTAACAAAATAATTTGTTACCTTTGAAATTAAGAAAATGCTTACAAATTTGCATATTAATACCTTTACAAAACTCTTGGTAAAATATTTTCCTTTTTTACAAAAGAATATCTTAAAATTTTACAAAATAAAATTAAAACTACAAAGTCATGTTAATGCCATTATTACATTAGATAAAATTACTTTTTAACTTTTTCAAAAGTAGGAACTTTATTAAACACTTTAAAATTATAAAAAAGAGTGTTGGCTTTTTGAATTGAACAAATAAACTTGCGAAAATGTATCGACATGTGGCGCGTACGCTATACGCTGGTGGATTTAGCCCCTCGTAAATTTTATCATGACGCGCCCGTTCAAATTCTATTTGATAGTATCCATTATTTATGTCAACATAGATTTAGTCAGTATTTATGGAATGTCCTCCCTCTTGAAATTTTATTTTTCTCAAATACAAAGTATGCCATAACTTAAATTTGACACGTTCTTGAAAATATCTTTTACCGATTTCCAGACACTTTTTGATTTTACGACCTATCGACCTTTTGAAATTAGGGGATACATTGAAGTGGGTTAAAGTTGCGAAATACATCAGTAAGTGTTGTATAAGTACTGATAATGATATTGTACCAAATTTCTTATAATTTGTTGATTTCAGAATAGTGTGTTATTTAATTATGTGTATGTTATTTTTGTGTTCATTCATGTAGGTGTGTTAATTTTTTTTGTTAATAAAATTGAATAATAAAGCAACATTTCTTTTCAATTTTTTTTTCCATTTGGGTTCCCAATTTTTAACAAATACTTCTGGGTCTACAAAAATGTTTAAAAAAATAAGGTCCTCTTTGAAAATTACAAAAATTATGATTGAATTAATGATGTATGATTTACAAAATGTTTATTATAATTACATAACTATTTATGTAATAAGTTAACAGATTGAAGTTGGTTGTAAAGTTAACATAGTTATGTGGACCTTAATTAACATAAAATTATTAGTTTAAATTACTTTAAATTAGGTTTCCATTCATTATCAAAATTTTGCTAATGGATTCACTTTAACGAAGTAAGAAAAATCTCATTTAACCTTTAATAATATTATTTTTATATCCGTTATAAAGAGTCCGTGTTAACGGAATAGGCAACATAATAAAACTGAAGAAATAAAATACTTTCATTGATATATAACATTTTTACTATACCTTTGGAGATTCTTATAATAGTCAATAGAAATAACTCAAGTCTAAATGGCCATTTATGTCGTATTATCAGGAAATATCGAATGTACGTTTTAAAGCATTTTACTCCCATGTACTCGCGTAATAAATTAAATTCTCTCTGGGCAGTGATTTGTGTAAATAATTTTCCAACTATATTGGAGTCCATATGAGAATTCTTTAATATACGTCTCCCAGAATTGTCAACTCTAATTAATTTTTTTAAGAATGAAAAAAAACCTAAACAAGAATTAATAATGACTTTTATGATGAAAGGGTAAAATTTGCATCGAGATAAACTCGTACAACTTAAAATGAAAAAATCTTGACAAGGTAATAAGTAAAAGTTATAACAAGCTAAAATTACTAAAAACTAGACAGACTTAAACCCTGGACAAGCTAAAATTATGATAGTCTATTATGATGACGACAGGCTAAAATCCTGGACAAGATTAAATGATTACAAGCTTGTATAACTAACCGTAAACTAAAATAACCAATGGCTTAAAAAATAACAAGGTAAAATTTGCAACAGAGCACATAAAATTTAAATAAAATAGTTTTGTACCTTCCATCTTTAATAGACCAGGCAAAAAGGGGTAGGTCGTTATTTTTTAAGGGTTTTTTTTTTACAGTCTACCGAAATCGATCAGACCTGTTTTTTTCTTTTTTCTTGAATTTGTTTTGTTCACCGGGAGGAAATTTTTAAAATGCGATAACTTGGCCAAAAATTTATCGATCGTTACATTTTTTTAAATTGTAGGTATATATTTACCACATACAAAAAATATATAAAAAATTAGGGTAATTCACTCATTTTTTTTAAATTGTTATTGAGGTCAAACTTTTCACATTGCCACATTTTTTTTAACTTCATATTTTTTTCGTTTGTAGTTGATAATATGAACTTGGCTACTCTAATGAACTAATGAAATAGTTAGTCAAAATTCTACTATTTTAATTAGTACCAGCATTTTTTACTAATAAAATAATCGTTTTCACTTTTAAATAGTTATTTTTTACTACGTAAATAGTTAAAGTTTGACTAATTTAAGATTAGTCACCATCTTTGACTATTTCTGAGAGTTAAAAGAAACTAATTTCTTTAATCGTTTGCGGCCAACAACAAAGTATTATTTGAATTAAATGCATATAGGCTCCATGGATAAATGGCCCATAAAAACAAACAAAAATCCAAAAAAGTTTAGCAACACAAATAATAAATTCATTTTTAAAATATTATGAACAATATTTATTGACAAATAAAATTATTTTTTATAAGAGCGACTGATAGCCACATTAGTTATGACAACAGCTTGACAATTGACATACCTGAGTTCAATCCCTGGCTGGGTCAAAACTTTTTTAAATTTAAATCTACTAATTTGACTATTTCATTCAGTAGAATTTGACTAATTATTAATGACTGCTTGTTCGCTATGACAATTAGTCAAATATGACTTATAATTAGTTATTTTTGACTAATTCATTTTAAGAAAGTAAATTCGTTGCTTCGGAATTATTATTGTAATAGTAAAAATGCCATTTTCTTGTAAATTCGTGGTTCATCGCTAAAATTTTATCTAGGGTCATGAAACTGGAAATTAGAACTTTTTGACATATTTAACATATTTTTGTTATTTCTGGTTTTACCGGAAATGCTCTTATGGTGAAATTATGCGGCACAAATTAACATTAGCATTAACATTGCTTCCATTGTATTACATTCATCTTAACTTTTTAATGTTAATCTTAATGTTAATGTTAACTTAATTTTAATTTGTGCATAATTCCACCATTAAGTAAGTAAATTAAATAATTAAAGATTATAGAGTAAAATATAAATTCTTAATATAAATAAATATTTTTGCATGTGTACTTTTAAAAGATGTAAAAAGTATACGTAAGTTAATTTTCGTTAAAATAATAAAAAATAAGTATAACATCTAAAAGGAATGAATCGGATGCACAATTATCTTATAAAAACGCGATTTCGAAGAAATGTAGAACACAAACAATTCCGAAATTCCGAATTTTGGTGAAAGTGAAACAATTTAAAAAAAATTGAGTGAATTCACTTATTTTTTTATATTTTTTGTATGTAGTAAACATTTACCTACAATTAAAAAAAAATGTAACGATTGAAAAATTATACTCGTAAAAAAAAATCGATGTTTCTGTCAATTTTTCAAAAATTTTCTACGATTGAACAAAACAAATTTAAGCAAGAAGAAAAAATACGGGTTTCACAAATTTCGGTAAAGAAACTAAACAAAAAATTCGTTAAAAAATACCAACCCTTTTATATTTTAAAATTTTAGCTTGTTATCATTCCAGCTAGTCATCAAAGCTTGTTATATTTGTCAACAAAAACCTGTTTTGTGTTTTTATCTACTTACAAAACACAAAATAGCTTCTGGGAAATTCCTCAAGGATCTATTTTGGGTGTCTTTTGGTTTAACTTTACTTTGAAATAGTATTAATTTTGTATAACTCTTTTCAGCTGGAACTAGAGAAGGAAGTTCGAGCAGTCCAAAGTTTCCCGTCATAGTTTTTATACATGGAGAAAGCTACGAGTGGAATTCTGGAAATCCATACGACGGCAGTGTACTGGCCAGTTACGGAGGAGTAGTAGTCGTCACTGTCAACTACAGGCTAGGAATTCTAGGTAAGGATAATTTCCCATTTAGCCTTTTCTCCTCTTGTTAAACCATTTAACTTGTGCTAACTCGATTCTTTGTTGGAAGAGGGCAAAGAATGCTAAAGCGGAAAAAATACGCACAGGTAGGGGCCGGGCAAAGTGTTTAAAATTCTTAAGGAATACAAGAGGCGAGTAAATAAAATTAAAACCATTTCTGCGGATTTTAAATGGCATCGAAAGAAACGGCTGCTGAAAAACGAAATGAAAACATTTAATATAATTCCCTCCAAGTGTTTTAATTCATAATGTAATTTTGCGAAATGTATTCACTGAAAGTCCAAGGAAAGTTTTTAAATTTACACTCTCTTTATACGCCTACTTAGTAAATTGTAATTGAAAAAGTTTGTAGCATTTTAAACAATGTTTAAAATTTAATTTTCTACCTCTGTTTTACGTTTGCCTGTATTGTCCATTTAAATATAAATCAGATTATTTACTAAAACGGCAAAAAAGCTCTCGTTTAACGCAAAACGTTTTAATTAAGGTACAACTTTTATTAACAAACTTTCCAAATCAAAAACTTTGATTGTCTTAGGCTTGTTCATTACTTTTTATAATACTCGTCTCAAAATAAATCTGTATTGTAACAATTTCTTACACTGTTTAAAATATCTGTGGTGTGAAGAGTAATCTTAAAATGGTGTCAAAATCCAACACCATGAATTATGGTTGAAAATGTTTTATACAGAAAACACCAAAACGGTGTTTATCTAAAAATATTTGAGAAGTGCACCTACACAGAAAAAAAAAATAGTTCATTTAACTATATTAATTTAGTTGACCCATAAGTATTTATTTAAATCAACTATGGGAAGGTTAATATAAACAAAGATTAGTTTGACGGTACTAAACCAGATAGTTATTTTATTTTTTTAAATTAGTTAAATTAACCCAGAAAACTTTAGTGAAACCAACCCGCTGTTTGGTTCAGTTTACTAAATATGTTGTATCCCAAGCAGCATTTTAAGTAAAAGCGTAGAGCTTTGAGGCAATATTACTTAATTTAAGTAAATATTTTGTTAAATTAACCTTCAAAATTTACTTTGAAGTAAAACTTTTTTTAAAGTTATAATATACGTTTTATTTATGTTATTTTTACCTATTTTAATAACCCTTAAGTTTCAAGTTTAAAGTATTATGAGGGACGTAATTTTTACGAAAGAAAATTACTTATAAGTGTATTTTACCTAAAGGAAAATTTAACGGTAATTTTAACGTCAAAATTTTTACTTAATGGTAAATGTTACTCATAAGTCATAATTTTACGATATTAAGACCACTTTATAACCGTAAATAATTCCTATTCGCCTGGTATTTTTTAGGGTTATTAGTGGGTAATAAATACTAATAATATTGACTAAACAAGGAAGAATAAGCTTAAAGTAAAAAATAAAACTTTGCGGGAATTTTTTTTTAGGCCGCCATAATGAGTTTTTTAAGATGGCACCCATTACTTATCTAAACATTTATATAATATTTTTTCATGGATATCTTTCTAAAATATAATAAGAAAAGTTTTAGTTATTAAAAAATGATTAAAACTAAATGATTTTTAAAAGATTTTATAAAATTTTGTAGGTTTTAAGTTTTGTTGAATTTTTACTTAAGCAATAATTTTTCTTAAAACCGTAAAATATTTAGAGGGCATATAATTTTTAAGACGTATCATACCTATTTTTATCAATAAAATAATGTGCGTTTGAGTTTTAATGCAAAATATCAATGGTTTTGACAATTTAAGTTATATTTTTTAATTTTACTCTAGGGTGGCCTTTATTACTTTGTAATTACTTAAGTACCTACCATTTTGTAAAATATAAATTAAAAGAACAAAGAAATTACGAATATCAATGTTTAAGAAAGAGAGAGCAAACAGTTAGTAATTATAGCGTTATTTTTACGTAAATTTGTGGTATTTATATTGTTTTTATTACGTAATTCTCTTAGTAGATCAAAAAGGTTATTATGTGGGTAAAATAACGAAATAAACCATTCCCCAAATTTGGTAATTTTTCGTATCTATACCGTTATAAAACCGTTTTGGTTAACCGTAAAAAATACTTTAAAGTTGACTTAGTAGTAAATTTGTAGTTATTTAAACTTAAAATGCTGCTTGGGATGTAAAATAAGAGTTACTTCAACCTAAAGCACTCTGTTAAAACGATTAAAACAATTTGCCGTGCATTCCTTGTTGCATAGTGTGTACCGATCGCGGCAAAGGCGGTGTGGATCACGTGATATTCTTAAATCTCGCCTGTGTTGACTTACATGAAGAGTATATAAGCTCAGGTAGTCCTATGCTTTGGTGTGACACTACAAGTTGTTCGATACAAAAGAGACCTTAAATAGGTGGAAACAGCTGTTAATATTTGAAGTATTTTAAGTTGGTGGAACGCACTAAAAACATTATCTCTAGAAAGTTGAAGGCTCAATTTTCTGGAATAATACCACTGGTAATATAATTGTAATGCGTCAAGGAACTTTATGTTTCCTTTTTTTCCTTTTTTTCTGTGTATGAGTATGATTTAATTTGACCAAAAACACATTATATTTAACACTGAAAAGGAGTTCAATTTACACCAGGTAAAATTTATTTTAATACTGTGTGAAAGTTAAATTTACACCATTTTATTATTTGAATTTACACTGGACCAATGAACCATATTTAACACCATTTTGGTTTGTATCGATATAGACCATGTATGGAGTAAATTTGGTGTTAAAATGGTCATGAAATTTTGAACAGTGTAAAACCCAGACAATACCGGCGTTAAAATTCGATAATCTTAAAGAGAAAAAACCGTATCCATCTTCATTATACCGCCATTTGTCTATTAAGGCTTTTTGATAAATTCGAAATTCTTGCGACACATTGTTCCCTTGCCTTCGACAGCTCATTCTGCGGGATTATTATCGCCCTCCACCCCCAAACTCCCCCCTCCACCAACGTGATCCAAGCCTTCAATTATGTTTTATGACGATCTCGATCAACCGGTTTCTCTTATTCTCGCCCTCCTTAAACACCAGCCAAGTCTTAAACACGACTTTCTGTTAAAGACATCCTTGAAAATTATTAGGTGGCCCGGATTTAGGCGGGTGCGGCGAACTGACAAAAAAAGACGATTTTGACTTAAATTTTTTGCATTTTAACTTGTCTGTAATTTTAGCTTGCTGCCAATTTGGCTTGCTAATATATTAGCTTTTTGTCATTTTAACATGTCGTATTAAGCTTGTCGTTATTTAAGCTGATCGTCAGTTTTTGTCTCTAGAATTAAGCTTGTATTTTTTTTTTGGCTGCCAATTTGGCTTGCTAATATTTTAGCTTTTCGTCATTTTAACATGTCGTATTAAGCTTGTCGTTATTTAAGCTGGTCGTCAGTTTTTGTCTGTAGAATTAAGCTTGTCTGTTTGTAGAATTAAGCTTGTCTTTTTTTTTGCTGCCAATTTTGCTTGCTAATATTTTAGCTTTTCGTCATTTTAACATATCGTATTAAGCTTGTCGTTATTTAAGCTTGTCGTTATTTAAGCTTGTCGTCATTTTTTTATGTAGAATTAAGCTTGTCTTTATTTAAGATAGTCATCATTTAAGCATTTCGTCATTTTAACGTCATTTTAACATGTCGTATTAAGCTTCTCGTTATTTAAGCTTGTCGTTATTTTTTTCTGTAGAATTAAGCTTGTCTTTATTTAAGATAGTCATCATTTAAGCATTTCGTCATGTTTCACTTGTCGAATTAAACTTGCCATTGTTTAATTTTGTCATAATTTTAGCTTTTCGTTATTATATATAGCTTATTATTTTTTAATGTCGTTATTTAAGCATCATCATTTAAGATTTCCGTAATTTTATGCTTGCCGAATTAAGCTTGTCGTTACTTAAGCGTGTCATCTCTTAGGCTTTTCGTAATTTTTTGCTTATGGAAGTTTAAATAATCACAATCTTATTTTAAAAATCAATAAATGATTAAAAGCTTAAAAAATTACAATATTCGAAAATAAAAAAGAGCCAAAATTATGACAAGCTTAAATAACAAGGTTAATTTGACGAAGAGCTAAAATGATAACAAGGGAGTCCATTAAGTACCTACGTCACACCTTTTTTGAAGATTTCAGACCCCCCTTCCCGTGTCACACATAGTTATATTATTATGTCACACATTGTCACAAAGTCTTGACCCTCTGTGCCTAAACGAGTGACGTACTTTAAGGACGACCCCTTGTTATAATTATTGCTTTTTATCATTTTAACATGTCAAATTAAGCTTGTTTTTTAAGCTTGTCATAATTTTAGCTTATTTTTATTTTTAAATATATTCATTTTAACATGTCGAACAAACTTGTCATTTTTTAAGCGTTTTTATATTATTGTTAAATGTGCATATTATTTGCTAGATGCATCATTTTTTTTTGCTTTTTTAATTAAGCTTGTCATTTTTTAAGATTTTCTTTTTTATTGCCAAATAAATCTTGTCAATATCTAACCTTGTGATTATTAAGGCTTATCATCATTTAAGCTAATAGAGTTAAGCTTGTCATCAATTTACTTAATTAAGATTATCGTATTTTTTTTCATGTGGAATAAATCTTTTCGTTATTTGAGCGTGTCATCTTTTAAGCTTTTCATATTTTTTTGCTTATAGAATTAAACTTGTTGTTATTTTACCTTGTCATTATTTAGGTTTCTTATTATTTTTATTTATAATTAGGATTGTCTTTATTTTATATTATCGTCCTTTCAACATGCCAAATCAAGCTTGTCAATGTTTAAGCTTTTTGTCTTTTTTTGACCCCCCTCCCCCCGTCATATAATTATATTATAATATAATATTATAATGTCACACATTGTCACAAAGTCTTGACCCTAAACGTGTCATTTTAACATGTTAAATTAACCTTGTTATAAGTTTAGCTTATTATATTTTTGATTATCGTCATTTTAACATGTCGAATCAAACTTGTCATTTTTT